AAAAATGTATATTTCAATTATTTTAACAATGATATATTTTGCTAGTGTTTATGTTCTAGTTCATGCTGACTGAGCTTGGTTACCACTCCCTGACCACATCCTGCACTTGGCTTGACGCCTAGACTCCCCTTGACGCCTGGACTTCCCTTGGACAATTCCCGAAGCCACAAAGAACCAAGAACAAAGTACTGAAACAGCTGGAAGACTACTAACCTAGGAAGGAACTCTGTGTAGCTGTGTATCCCCTTAAATCCAAATCTGCTTCCTCTGGGCTCAGAACAGGTTTGAGCATTAGATCCCAGTTCTCTCCATTGTGAGCTTAATTAAAGGTTTTTAAATCTCCAATATTGGCTGAGTGTTTAGAATCGCTCACATTTCTGCCACAACAGTGTAATTGTCACACTGTTGTCCTGTCTATTGTTCTTTTGAAGTGCTGAGCTCCAGGGCTGAATTTTGTTCCAGGTTCAAAGGGTAATTAAAGGGCATAGACTGGGAGTTCTACCAGATTTTACTGGACCATTATATCTGCCCTTTTCTATGTTTTTGCATTCAGTCACTGTGCAGTAAATCTCAACTCTCTGAAGAGAAACCAGGGAGATGCCGAATATTTAAGAACTAAATTCACTAGAACAAGTATGTGCAATGAGAGAATATCTTGTCGACTCTTTGAGTTGAGCCCACTGAGCTGTTGGGACCAGGCCAGGTGCCACTGCTGTCTAGTCAGCTCAAGTTCACGGTGGTCTCAAGTGTTTCCTTGTAGAACTGTTGCACAGTGTTTTCTTGGCTATAACTTTCATGGGGGCTGCTGGTTAGTTTTGACCTGTCAACCATTAAGTTAATAAACTGTGTTACCTCTCCTAAGGAAGAATTCTTTATTTTGTGAGATAAAGATTCACCATAAAATTAAAACATTGACTTTGCTCAGTCAGAAACTGATTTTCTTGCTCTGAGTTGAAAATCAGTTACTTAGCAGCAAGAACCATGGAGTTAGTGATTTGCCAATACCCGCTCCTGACTCAGGAGCCCCTGGTGGTGGGTCAGGAAGCCTCATCACACTCCCCTTCAGTGCCTTTTCCTTCATAATACTTTCTGTGCACTCTCCTTAATGTTTATTTACAACAATATTCAGAAAGGAGCAGTCTGGATGTACTTTCTCCAAACCTATGTGTTAGTTCTTTTGAGATCCATGGGATATCCAGCTGTCTTTTTCAACACTATAACTCAAAGGCATCAGCTCTTCTGTATCATCTTTCTTCTTTGTCTACCTCTCAGAGGCATAACAAGTGATTGAAAAGGTCATGGTTTGAGTCAGGCACTTATTAGTCTATAAACTGACATTATAGCTTCTCAGTACTTTGGAGAGATACCGGACAGCAGACTTTCCCCACTGCAATGCGTCTTTTGATTCATTGACTGCTAGTAAGGAGGGTTTTGAGTGTGATTCAAGTAAGACGAAAAAATTAACAACTTCAATCTTTTCTCCATCTCTCATGATATTGCTTATGAGCCCATTGGTGAGGATTTTTGTTTTCTTGATGCTGAGATGTAATCCATATTGAAGGCTGTAGTCCTTGATCTGTTTCAGAAAGCGTTTCAAGTCCTCCTTACTTTAAACAATTTACATTTTTTAAAAAATATTTTTTCGACACACAGATTGAACAGGTATGGAGAAAGGATACAGCCCTGATGT